ACTCTGACCAAACAGGGTACGAGTACCATCTTACTCTCGATATCCACCAGCCTCAACCCGCTCCCTCACTCCCATCTTCTTCCTCACGATATCTTCCTCCTATGCCCTGAAATTGGACAGCGTCGTTAGTTATAGTCAGCGCCCTCTGTGGTCTGAGGGTCGCCGAGTATTTGACGATGAATCAGAATCTTAGGGTTTGTCGATGAGGTTGGGACGAATCGGGAAGTCGTTGACGGCGGATGTGGAGAGGGGAGGAGAAAAGTAGAAAACCACCACCATTGTCTCCTCCACTTCGATCCAATTGATGGTATAGCTAATAGAGAATTGAATGATTCTGTGGTGGTGGAGCAGAGAAGAAGATGTGGAAGCAGGCGCTGCCCCAGCCGCTCCAAGCACCCACAAAATCTAGTTGGTGCTCAATTGAGGTAGGCTTCAATAGTTGAAAGGGGCAGATGGTATAGGAGGGACAACGAGATGTGAGGTTGAGGTAAAATATCTCGGATACCACTTAAGTTTAAGAATTGGAGGATCTATACCACTTAAGATAGAATAGGGCATCGGGTACCACTTATATTGTTAAAATAGACATCCATTAATTTTTCCGTCCAAGTAACTAACGGTTGAAATAAAAAATTATTTATTTGTCAACTCAGCGTTGACCCATGACCCATGACATGCTGAGTCATATTTTACTTTTTTATAAAATGGGCATTGTTTTTATCTATTCCTACAGCAAAAACATATAAAAAAAAGCTGCCACTACCGCCAGAAGTCTCTCCTCTGCCAACTCCTCACCGCCAGAAGTCCCTCCTCTGCCAACTCCTCGCCGCCTTCGTCCCATTTTTCACCTCCGTGGTCAGTGGGAAATTGAATTGAATCATTGTTTGAATAATTAGGTTTGGAGGGGTCATGGGACAGAATGCTGGAATTGCATGTCGATTGTGGAGCGGTGGTGGTGGCGACGATGAGTTGGTGGGGCGACAACGGAGCTATTTTTGTTGAAGTGCAGTTGTTGCTTGCCATTCTCGCCTGGGGTGCTGCTGAATCCCGGAGCCGGAGCCACAGGCTACTACTGGAGTTCTGCCTTTGCCGGACGTTGATTCGATTGTCGAATCTCCTGATCCGGCCGCCGTTGCTAGAGGTCTGGGGTCGCTAAACGTCGCTGCTAAATCGTTGGACTCAAATCCAAAATTTGTTGTCGAATTGCCCGATCCAGACGCTATTGTTGGAGCTCTGGAGTTGCGGGTTGTTGGGTCGGCTGCAAAATCTCTTGATTTGCTGCTTTCTGGGCATCAGAGATCTCTGACGTCCAATATCCCGATCCGTTAAGGGAATCATTAACAAACGACCCAGGAGCTGCCGCTGATGATCGGCTCGTTCCGTGCTCTACAGGTGGCGATGGTGATGCAAAGTGGATGGCGCCGATGGCACGGATGATGCCGCTTCACTCGATTTGTTCTACAGGTCGCGATGGTAGCCAAGCAATTCCAGCGCCGACGGCTGGACCTGGATAGAGAAAGGGGGAAATCACTAGCAGTTCACTTTCCTCTGCAAAATACTCAAAAATTATATTAAAATAAAGAAAATGTGACTAAGCATGTCCTGAACCTGCTGCGCTAGCAAACAAATAAATTTTTATTTGAACCGTTAGTTACTTGGACGGAAAAACTAACAGATGCTCATTTTAACAATATAAGTGGTACCTAATGCCCTATTCTAACTTAAGTGATATAACTCTCCCAATTCTCAAACTTAAGTGGTATCGGAGGTATTTTACCCTGAGGTTGATGGCGATTGAATTTAGTAGAGGAAGATAAGCGAGAAGAGATGGAAGAGAAGGAAAGGTTTTGGAAAGGGATAGTTACAGAAAAGAAATAAAAATAATGAGGGATTGTGAAATAGCTTATGGTCATCAGCTATTTCAAAAACTCACATTTGAGGGTTTTTAAATTTCCTAATTGCGAAAATTCTCATATGTCCAAACAAGAGATTGTTTTAAAATCCTGCATAATGAGTTATTCTTTTAAAATCTCTTATAAATCACTCACTACAATCTCTTATCCAAATTACCCCTTGGTTTACGGAGTGCAGACGCGTCATCGTTTCATGGAAGTCTTAATGGACGACTTCTCGGTTTATGGAGACTCCACTCATTGTCTTCATAACCTGGAACTCGTTGTGAAGAGGTGCGAGGAGACAAACTTGGCACTCAACTGGGAGAAGTGTCAATATATTGTTCGCGAAGGGATTTTGCTTGGGCACACGATCTCTAACCAGGGGATTGAGTAAGATCGGGCAAACATTAAGACGATCAGCAAGCTACCTCCTCCTAGTTCTGTGAAGTGGATCCGCAGCTTTATGGGTCATGTAGGCTTCTATCAGAGATACATCAATGATTTTTCTAAGATCGTCTTGTCTTTGACCAAGCTGCTAGAGAATGATGCACCATTCCACTTCACTCCAGAGTGCACAGCTTACTCATGCATCCATCATGGTGACTCCGGCTTGGTCTCTCCCGTTTGACCTGATGTGCGATGCGAGTGAACTGGATGGTGCTATTATACCCATTTCTACCTCAGTCTGCAGATGTCCCCTTTTGAAGCACTTTACGGGTTTCCCCCCTAAGTTCTTCAACCTTAACTCACCAAATTGATGTGTTAGTAAAAGTTGTTGAGGAGCGAGTATTGAAGCAACATCAGTTGCTTCAGTTTCTGACACAACATTTCAAAATCTCAAAATAAACAAAAGTAGTATGTTGATCAGAGGCGTTCTAAGAGGGTAATGCAGCCTGGTATTTGGGCTTATCTTCATTTGCAACCCTATAAACAAGGTTCAGTGGTGGGACGTCATGGCAACAAACTCAGCACTCGTTATGTCGACCCCTATCAAGTGCTTGCAAGAATTGGTAACATGGCCTACAAGTTAGCCTTACCAGCCAGTTCACAGGTGCATTATGTGTTCCTTTTTTCTTAGTTGAAATGTGTTGATCCACCGTTCTTCCTACTACCCTGCAGCTTCCTGATTCGGATGCTAATGGAACCTTGAAGGTTGCGCCAACGCAAATTTTGGCCAGACGGTTTGTGAATAAAGGCAACCAAGCTGTAACGCAGCTTCTTGTGCATGGACACATGAGACACCAGATGATGCTACTTGGGAAGATTTTCTCTTCTTCAAGGAGCAATATTCCACTTTTCCATCTTGAACACAGCTTGAGGGCAAGTTGTCTCTGAGAAGGGGGGTTGTAACAACCCAAGCCAACTGGCGTGATGACGTGTGTAGGTAGTCAAAGTATAAATAGCTACATCTTATATGCGACGGGCTATCTTGGACCAATTGTAAAGCTGATAGTTACTTTCCCTTTCTAGCTCTAGCTATAGCTCTGTGAAAAAAAGTCTTCTTCTCATCAACACTTCCTTCTCTGTAAATCCTCCATTCCTCCAGTCTTCCTCTCTTTTGCCAAATTCATCAATAAAGATGCTTACAACAGGTCATACCACTAAAACTGGAACGCATCTCGTCTGTATTGCCAACCAGTTTGCAAAGAGTCGAGTCCCGCGTCGTAGGAGATGAGGCAATAAACGGGAAGACACTTCAATCCTGAACCCCACTGACCGAGCAGAGAGCATCTGGGAGTATCGTTTGTGTAATGGGTGCCAAATGAACATCTCCACTGCACACAAACAAGTAATGTTATAGTTGTTAAACTGTAATGCCCAGGTGACTGTAGTGGAATATTCTATTCAGATTTGTGAAACCCAACAAAATATACCAATCTCTAACCAATCAATTCCTAGCAACGGGTCGGATCGAATAGACATATACTAAACAGTTTAAGTTTTACAAAGTTAAGTGCATGGTAATCGGTTAAACTCTAATAGTTGCACATAAACCATCTAACTTCAATTCCAGAAGCATAGTTAATATTTTCGTTCAAATAGTTAACAATGGGTATCAAATTGTAATTTAGCATGTCACATGGCAAGCCAACTCAACATGTTTCCCTCTCTCTCTCTCTCTCTCTCTCTCTCTCTACTATCTGCCAGTAGCACAAAGCCTCTACCTCAAATCTCTCTCTAAATATCAAGTCCTTTTCCTATTCTCCGCACTTTCTCCCTCTAACTCGCAATATAAATTTCTTCCTTCACAACTCGAAGCATTATTTTCCCAAACCATCGCATCCCCTTGCTTGAATTCGCTCATTTCATTTTCCTCCCTATCTTCACAAAACCACAAAACAGAACTAACTATGTCGTTGGTCTGCGACTCCAACCTTGTTATGAACATTAGTCGCAGGCTCTAACCTTTTTGCGAGGAGAGCTATCTGGTGATGATGTTTTTATATGCCTACTGAAACCTGAATTGTTAGTTTAGCTCTAGCATAACTGCGGAGTGGGGCTTTTTAATTTTAGTGTTCTCGATATCAGGATCTAGAGCTAGATCTAGCTCGACTGTTAGAAACCGACGAGCGGCCGTCAGCAACGAGAGTCGCGGCGGACTAAGACGTCGAGGAGACCGAAGTAGCAAGCGCCGCGAAGGAGGAAGAGTTGTTGTTGGATGTTGAGGAAGCAGCTCCGGCAGATGGTGAGGCGGAGGTGGGGTGCCACTGGTCAAGTTTGCCTTCTGTCAGTCTGGTCGAAGGCTTGCCAGCAGAGACGAGGAGGAAGATGCCAATGAGGGAGGACGACACGACGAGGAAGGAGAAGACAGAGAAGGAGATTGGTGGCGGCTTGGTTCCACCCCTCGCAGATCCTTGGTCACCACCGTGGGCTTCCGGGACTGAAGAGGCGAGAGCCGAGGAGCCGATGACAGAACTGGAATTGGAGGAGGAAAATACCGGAACAACTCCAATCCTATTGATAATACCACTTGATGGCTGGAAATTCAGGAAGAGACAAATGGAGGACTCGTTGTTGGAGTCGCGTCTTGAATAGCAGGAGCTGTTCGCGGCGCCGGTCGACGGGGAGAAGAAGCTGGAAGTGGGGCGACTGCTCAGTTGCCCGATGGGCGATTCGCCTCCAAAGGAAGAGCGGGAGAAGAGATCGTCAGAGAGCGGGACAATGCGGGAGCTGCTGAAAGATGAAACGCCGGAGGATATTTGCCGGGATCCTTCGACGGCAGCGTTGAACTCGTCGCCACTCCTGATTGGAGAGGCTCAGGCGACCAGGAGCGTCGGGATTGGCTCTAGATCGGCGGAGCTCCGCATCGACACCGTCCGACGTGGAGAGGCAGAGAAGAAAATCGCGCCTGGAGGGCCGGGATCCTCAACGGTTTCCTTGGCTACAGATCGGATCGGAAGGGTAAAGTGGGCTTCCTTGACGGGTTCGACCACGACGGAGAAGAAGCCGAGGCTGTGGCCAGCCGCGGGCTGGCTGCCTCCTTGCCTGCGCCGCTGTTCGTCGGCGGAGAAGAGGGAGCTAACGGCGGAGAAAGAAGGAAAGAGGAAGTCAAATAAGGAAGGTGGCGGAGGTGACTCTCAACTATGCAAGCAGCTATGCCTCTCCTTCCCTAAAATGCATCAGCAACAGTTGGACCAAAGAATTGCAAGAGCTTATCATAGTGGGCCAAACGAAGTGGGCCAATTACTAAAGAAAGGCCACATGGGTCTCGGCCTACATCATGGGGTAAATGAGCACGGTTTTGAGGAGGTTGGGCTTGAATGGGTTTTGGTCGAGCAAATTGGTGATGGTGAGTTTAATTACTGGGGAAAGATTGTTGGAAGGGGGTTGACCATTCATGAGGTTATGGATGGAGAGCTTGGAAGGAAAATGGAGGAAAACAATTGCGTGACCAGGAGGAATAAAATGGAATTGGTTGGTGCGTGGGGCCCGTCTCAAGAGCAACCCTTTCCTTCCATTTTGACTACGGTGGAGTACTTGGGACGATACAATCATCATCATGTGGTGGAGCTCAGGGAGTGGGAAGGGATGACAATGCCACTCACATGGAGGCACACGGGCTATGCTCGTGGAGGTAGCAAGTTGGATTGCGAGGAGATTGAAGACTCTGTTGGCGCTTATATATTGGTCGGGTCAAATCTTAGCAGGGGAATTGGGCCATGGATGAGCTCGAGTAGTCAAAAGCCTACCTTGGTGTGTGAGAAAATGATGGGAGTTGGGCTAGCTTTCGAGGACTTGGAGGAAGGGAGTCGATTCACATGAGCTGACAAGGCAAGAAGTTCAATATCAGAGTTGGAGCACGATTGGAAGAAACGGAAGCGCAAGAAATGGAGTCAGCGTGTAGAGTGCGCGAGAAGGAAGAAAGAGTGGGTCAAGTGGTTCAAACTTGAGGGCAAGGTTGGTCTGAAGGGGGAGGAGATGTTAGAAACCGATTTCTGTAGGGTTTCTCTATTTATTAATATAATAATAATTATTATTATTAGGGTGATTATCAATAAGGTTAGTAGAATAGTAGTCATTTAATAGAATTAGGTTTATTGTTAGGGTTTTCCACTATTTCCTATATATATGTACTTTGGGCTTCCATTCAGAATCAATAAGAAGCATATTAAGAAAATCCCTAAACCCTATTCTCTCCCAAATCCTCTCAATTTCTCTTCTTTCCCTAATCCGGCCGTCGGCCATTCTTTCTCGTTCTTCCCCAAATTCTACTTCTTAATCCCTAATTCTATTCTTCAAATCCCTAAATCCCAATTATCAAACCCATTAGAAACCTTGTTTCTAACATCAACCGCCGAAGAGAGAACTCTCAATTCCATTCAATTTAGTGAAGAAATCCAGCACCTTGTCTCTGTCACAACTAAGAACACGAGCTCTTCCACTGCTCTTCTCAAATGGTCGCGCTATCAGAAGGTGGAGCTTCTCCACTCCTGTGAGTTGGATCTTAGCTCTATGTGGCATGGTAAATTGCAATTTTGTACACTCTATTGACTTTTTGGAAATAAATACGTATGTCTGTGTATAATCAGATGGATTTGAATTCAATACTATGAAAATCACACCTATCCACCATCCACAATATTCAGGCATTGAGTTAGATTTCACAATACTAATTAGATCGAATTCGGGCTATATTTTTGTCATCCTAGTGCGATGTGCCACCTATTTAAAAAGGTTTATCCCAAGTCTGAAAGTGGTCGAGCCGCCAAGACAAAGGCTATTGACTCGGAAAAGAAAATTGATGAAAAATTGGAACAAGAACATAGAGTCATAGACAATGGAGAAGCATTTTACGGAAAAGGATTTACAATTTAATGGTGGCGAGTAGAGTACAAACAGTGGATACAAACGATGGGACTGTAATGACTACAAACAAAAAGCACCCATCTTTCCACAACATATCATAACCCAAGAAAACAACAATTATAGAAAATGAATCAACAACCTATACGCTGGTATCTCGCGGGACTAACCAAAAGAGTGAGTGAAAAGGTAGACTAACCGAACGAGAGAGATATAATGGCATTCCAAGGCCTAAGTTTTATTAGGGGGCTTCTCTGTATCGTTGAAGGGACTCTATTAGGGGGTGTGCTTCTGCTATGAAAAGTTATGCCCATTCTTCTGCCGATGTAATTGCAAACCTCGAACCACTTCCTCTTTCGGTCGCTTGCTCGAGAAAGACTGCGACAACCTGCATATGAGAAAGAAATCCCAGTCAATGCTTTCACATCAGTTTCTAAACATACCAATCCCATGACTTGATAAATGTCTACACCCAGGTCCGGGCCCCGGAGAGACTCTAGATGAGCCACAGTGAAATCGGCATAGGAAGTAAATTCCCATTACCTAGGAGAAATGGCGCGCTTCTGCCCTGGCTGATGTGCCGAGTTGGAAGGGGCGGCGGTATCATCTTCAGCTTCAGCTTCAGCTTCAGCAGCCTGCAATGTATCCATAGCAAACACACAAATCTCATTAGGTCAATCAGAGCAATCTGTCCACCGCACACAGAAGCAAGAGGGAAAGGTTCAAGCGAATACAATGACGTAGAAAACACAGAGCTGAACCAGAACCCACACCAGGACAAGCAGGGTTCTCCAAACCAAGGATAAAAAATTGTGGAATCATGCAACCATTGTTCATCGAACAAGGATGCAAGAGTTGAAATATCAATGAGAGAAAAAAATGAAAAATACAGTAACAGTTCAATTACACGGCAGCACTTGGATAAGGGGTAGGAAACAAGGGTCTGAACGCCACAGCCATTACCTTTCTTACCCTCAAAACAGGAAGGCAGCAGTAGTAGCAGACATGAAGCCAGCTCACTTCATGTTCACTGTTTTACTTCTAGTCAGCATCTTGGTGGTCATGCCAAATCCAAAGAAGGGAGTGGGTTTCTTCTAAAAAACAACCACATTCCTCATCCGGCAATTTCTTGCTTGCCCCACATACCCTTTATCCAAGCATCGCCCTACGTAATTTTTTGGACATGTAAAATCAATTATCAAGAGAAGCAGAAACAATTGTTCCCACCTCAGGACTCTCCTCTTTAGGCATGCCTTCTTCCTGCCCTCCTGCTCCACTAGGCCCCGCAGGATTCAACGTGTCCCAAAGGAATCCATTTTCGTTGGAGGAAGAGAGTTTATCAAAATCTCGGCCCGCTGCTCCAGAATGAGGTGTAACATATGCTACATACTTCTCTGCACCAAAATGTTTATGTCGAGTACTTGAGCTATCCATACAGCAAAAGGCACACAACTAAAAAGCATATTGAACCGAATAGTATGTAACTATGTATACCTGCCAGCTTGCGAAGGGCATTATCTGCTGCTTGCTGCTGAGCATCCTTCCGAGTTTTACCCATTCCAACACTTATCTTCTCACCATTCAACGAAACCTAAAATGAAAGCGAAGTCAAGAAATGAATTTGAAGCTCCGCAACCTTGTATAATGCATCTGATTCATAAAACAGTAAGTGAAGACAAAATAGTCCTTATCCTCTCCAATCAACTTAGAGAACATACGATCATACCAACACATTCGCTTTGAGATGCAGCCAAGATTCAAGTCTATTGTAGCATATAGAAAGAAATACGGATATATTACAGAAATAGGAAGAATGCATAGAACAGCAACACACCTCAACAGAAAATTGCAGGTCCTTACTGGTGCTGACCACAGGCTTAAAGTCAACCTGCATATAATCAAATAAAATGAAGATACAAGAAAAATATCATAGTTAAACAATATTGTGAAAGCTAAATATATTTTGTACCTTAGAGCTGCACCGCCGGCCGATTTCCAGCAGAACTCCAATAGACAATTGTGAAGATAACACATTCAACTTCCCAAATTCCGACTGAGACTCTCTGCTGCCATTAGCACACCCTGTATTCAGGGGAATACCAACATCTGTGAAAGACTTCAATTAGTATTCAATTCTCGATTCACATGCCTATTTGATATTCAAATTCCAACTTATAAGAGCAACTGAAAAACGAAAACTACTACCTGATGGCAAATTTCCAGGTAAAATGTTTTGTTTCTGCACGTCTGGGCCAGCATACACCTGCAAACCAAGTGACCATCGACTTGTCAAATGTTCACGCATACAGCTGTAAGTCTCACAGAATGGGTTGTTTAGATACTGAATTTGAGAAGTAAAGGATTATAGCAAAATGATGGTTTCAGATAGTGCTGGACTGGCATACTAAGGTGTTTCAAACATTTGTTGTTTGGATGTTGGATTTTAGATGCGGATTGTTACACATGGGTAGTTTCTTTAAAGGTAAAAAAAGGGTATTTAAATCCACAAGCCCCACAGATTTTGCACCCTTATCGAACCCATTGACAGCTTTTTTGGCTATACCAAACAAGGGTTTGACGGGGAAAAACGCTTTTCTCATGGATTTTGTACTGAAATCCATCACCTAAATCCAACCTTCAACCAAAGTCAACAGTTTGTTCAAAGAGGAGAAGGAAGAGAAACAAACCTCTTCACTCTTTACTTGTGATGAATTTGTAACAGTCCGCAATCTATCTAGTTTAGGGGCCTCGGGATCTTGTAAAAGACCTGATGGCCGACTATTTGTATAGAGTTTGCTACCATCATCTTCCACCAACCAGCCCCCCTGTGGCTGTAATAAGGGTGGTGCAGGTACTCGAGACAGAAGAGGAGGTTGTCCAGAGTTCTGATTTCTCACATCTCGTCTCACAGGAGCTCCAAGCAGACTAGGTTCTGAAATAAGGTAAGAAAAAATCAGCCAGGAAGAGTTAACCTGGATCTCTGTACTATTACCTCAAAATCAACACTGGAAATGTCAGAAACTATATCAGCCCATACTTTGAGAAAGCATCGCAGATGTTGGACCAAGAAGACTTGGATTTACAGCAACTGGTGGTTGGGAGATATCAGATCTCGGGTCAGTGCTACTTGTTGGATAAGCAACTCCATCTTTGACACTTCTCTCTTCCTAGATTAATAGAAGAGCAATGAGCAAAACAAGCATTTATAAGTCTATCAGAGCATTACCGGACATACAGCAGATCATGATTGCACATGTAGCATCCTATAAGATAGCACTGATTCTCAACAAATTGGCATACAGCATACAGCATACAGCATACAGCATACAGCATATAGATCTTCTAATGACTGCTCAGAACTCACTGGTAGATAGATTCTCCTTTCAACTTCTGCACCAGTCATTCCTTCAGTTATTGGAGCACCATTGGGTACAAAACCAGCATCCTACACTCAATAACAAGTATGCGATCAACAGTAAGTGGCATGTTCATCAATTGACAACAGAAGCAAAGCGTTCCAGCAAAAATACCTCTGACATCATGTAGTTGCTCACGTCAGGAGCCGGAGGCAAAGTTGCCATTTCATCTTCATAAACAACTTCTGAAATCCTCCGCATTAAGATCTCATCGAATTCTCTATAACACAAATAATTCCAGTAAGCAACACAATCACACATCTCCTAAGGATTCATAAATGCATGGAAGTTTCAATAGTAAGACATAGTGCCTCTTACTTGAAAAAACATCCTCTGACGTTGCAAGCCACATTTCTTGCCACACATAGGACCGGCACCGGATTCGCATTCTAGACACAGCACCAGAACAGCCAAACAATATTTCAATTGACAAAGAAGCAGCAGAAGAAAAAGAAAACAGAACCTCATGATGCATAAGCTTTTATTACCTCTGCCTGAGGAGCATAATAAGGAGCAAATGCAGGTACTACATGGACTCGAGGTTGATCCTTGTCTTCCCAAACCTTTGACCGGTCATCAATTACCATTGCCATTTTTGGATGGCAAACTCCATCTTGAAATACATTCAATAAGGCTTTCTTGGAGCCTGCAAACAATAAAATGATTACCAGAAATGCAAATTGGGGCTAAAAGCAGATATAGAAGAGAGAGAGAAAAGCATTTCTCAGTCGGAATTTACTAGCCTGATTTAACGCAGACCACGCGGTTTGAGAGCTGCTTTGGATTTATCAGATGAGACCCAGGATCAAGAAGCCTCCAAATTTCAAGGGCATAATCTCTTTCAGCCATTGTACAAACGTAAACTTCGAAACGCTTGCGACCTTTTGCAGTTAGGTAGCTTCTCAAATCCTCCCAAGCAGGCCGCAATCTAACTAGCACGCTAGTATCACGAATCTACATTGACAAACCGAAAGTCAAATATACAGATTTTATCATCTCAGCAGCTGAACAAAAATGTCGGTATTCAGAACCAAAAAATTATACCACGCACACATATATGTTATATGTCCCAAGACATATATATTCAGAAATTTGTTGCAATCTTATCAAATGATGGAAATTCTGACAGTACTGGCAAGCAACACACGCTGGACTTTAAGCTACACATATTAAACAGATTCAGCAATCCAGTGTAGAAAAAGCAGACAATACCTCCGGATTGATGCGAGTCAAGACAACATTCCTTTCTTGCAATCTAATCACAGGTCGAACGACTTTCTCCTGAGCATCAGATAACTGCGGAACCTCCTCTAGTTGAACCTTAAACACTTTTCCGCCATCAATTACAGAATCATTCTCTAAGTACTGCTTTAAGAGCATCCGGTCATCCATATATCGCTTTAACTCTGCAGACATTCCTGCTATCCTCACAGGATCGACCTCACGAGCAAGCCAAGCTTTAAGAGCTTCAATCCGATCCTCAAATGATTTCATGGTGTTAGCCACTATAAGCGTCTCGTCCAGATCAAACACGATAGAAAGGCACCTCATATCAAGCATCGTGACGCACGAACTGTAGAGACCACAAGGAACTGCAAAACACCAGAAGCAGGGGAACTTCTTCTCCTTACTCGGCATTGCCACTAAGTGAATCTCTTCATTTCCTATCAAAACCACAGCCGTCTGTACAAGAAATCAGAAAGGGAAAAGAATTAATCAATCGAAAGACCAGAAGAATGACGAAGTACACTTCACCGCCAACATTTTAGGAAGAGAGACCTTGTGTTCATGGAAGCAAGAGGCGTGAAGGTTGATCAAATGCGGCTGCTCGACCGGAGACGACGACTCCAACTTGCAGCGGACGGAGTAAGAAGAGATAGTTTGGAGAACTGAAAGCGGCAAGCAGCGGCCGCTCTGTGATATGTGGTGGATACGTATCTCATTGTTGGGGAACAGGAAATTCTGGCCGGTCACCGGAATAGCGTCCAGTTCTCCAAGGCACACTTCGCCATGGTAGACGACGGATTTGAACCCTAAGCGGCTCATGGATGGAAGAAATTTTGGCAATTGACGAGAGGAAGACCGAAATGGAACCGGAACGGAAAACAACACAGAAATGCTGCCGAATTTCGAATTTCTGCGCTGTTTTCTCTCCGTTTCTCCCTTTACTCTCTCTTTCTCACTCTAGTCCCAGGGCCCTTTGGCCGTTTCTCTCTCTAGCTTCTCTCCCCTCTCCCTCCCTCTCTGATTGCGGGTAATGGGATTTTATATTTATAGGGGGAGGATAGCACTGAAGTTTTGGAATTACGGAAACAGCACTGCTTCCAGCGGGCTAAAATGGCTCTATCGGGCATCAATGGAAAGGGTAGTATAGAGATTACAATTTACAACCTTGGTTGCACACATGGCACCTGATAAGGGCTATGATTCTCCGTGGGCCATCCTTGGGCCGCTCGATCAGGAATCCAGATAACCTTCCTCTTCTACTTCCCTTACCTTGTCCAAAAATAAAACACTACGTACTCCCCCGCTTCACGATTCCAATTTATTTTTTTCATAGATATTCGTTTGATGAGATATTTGAATTAGGGTGCACACAGGGGCGGATACATGAGGGTTTAGGGGTGTCTCGAGACACTCCTAAAGTTTGGTAATACGATTATTCAACTCCCGGTAATAGTTTTGTATGGATAAAAAAATTATAATTAGTGATTCGGGACACCCCTATAACGATAATTCTATCCTAAATAGTAGTTTGCGTATACTTAAAAAAATAAGTGATAATCTATGTTATTCAAACTTATGATATACTATATTATTTAAACATTGTACTCCATTAAGTTGCAACTCATTTGTTGTTCTATTTTAAACACTTCATAATAGTAAAAAGTTATTCATTATCCCCAACTATTTCCAAAACCTAACAACTAAACTAATTACGGGCTACCCTTAATCTGAATTGATTTTATGGTTGCACAACAAGTGTTGAAAGAGTCTTTTCAACTTTTCAACCCTAATGAAAGGGGGAAATGAATAAAATGAGGTGGCGGTGGTGGTAATAGATGATATTTCGGGTTGGGTTCTTAAAACCGAACCGGACCGAAATATAACTCAGTTCGGCCAAACCGAACCGAATTATATTTCGGATCGAATTCGGTTTGACCTTAGGGAGAAGTCGGAAACCCGGTATACCCCATTTCGGTTCGGTTCAAACCGAATCGAACCGATGCCCACCCCTAATTTGAATGAGTTATTTGCATTTTCGGGAAACAACAGATATAGAGCTCATTTGGATGAGATATTTGACTTAGTTATTTGGACTGTAAATTATCTACAAATAACTCCCCGTTGAAGAAGGTTTGCTCTCAAAGCTTTCCAACCTGACTTTCAAACGAAATTCTCTAAAGTTCTCCAGCGAGGTTGACCATCTTCTTGTCTCTTCTTCATGTACTTCCACTGACTAAAAAAGACAATCATCCACAGAAAATTGCATGTTACTTCCCTGCTTCTCTCTAAGAAAGCCTCGATCCCATTCTGCAAATCTGGTGGTCTTTGTTCTTTGTTTAGCAATGAAAAACCTCAAAGTTTGGGAGATTCTGCAAGAAAAATCATCGTAGTTGTAAAAAGGATCGCGATCAAGGTTGTCAACCCGCGGGTTGACCCGGACCCGGTTGAGCTAGTGGGTCAGGGGTTAATGGGTCACCCGTTTTAGCCCGGTTTAGCCCGGAAATATAGAAAGCGTCATTATATTGTACTTATCCTGATAAATTATATCAAATCTCATCTAACATATGAGTTATAACATATAATATTACACCAAAATAACATTTCGTACTTAGATTCAACATATAGTGAAAATTCACACACACTTATATAACATTAATATTCAAATGTTCAACTTAGTATTCCAAAGATTGAGTTAGGCGAAAAGAAAAATCGGAAAATAGGCGCATTTTGCAAAACAATGGAAAAAATGACACAATTTGACCTCCAACCCGGTACCTTGTGGCGGTCGACCCGGCAGGTGCGTGCGGCCCGTTTTTCTCACCGGGTCAGGGTCAAAGTGGGTCAGCCCGTAGGTCGACCCGCGGGTTGACAACCTTGATCGCGATAAACGAACTGCTCCTTTTCCATCGCGACCAACTCGTAGGAATCTCCATCTTCCTTATGAAGGCAGTTGCGATGATTTCTCTCCTCCCAGATTCGCCTCCTTCTCCTCCTTGGAACTTGATTCCTGTTGCATTGGAAAACTCGAAGTATGTTCAGCCATGGTTAGAAGCATAGCTCCCACCTTAGACATCTGTGCTGCAAGCTGTTTCATTGGGTCTTCAATGTTTAGCTCCATGGTTTGCTTCCTTTGCTATCTTCTTCTCTATCGATGTGAACCACAGATACAAAAAAACCAAAGTCCAAGAAATCTATATTTTTTTTTCTTTCAACCCACGATCAGCTTTGTGGCTGATGAACAATTTTTTTAACATTATCGTGAACAGTAAAAACCAAAATAAAATACTCAAATCATCGTAAGTTTGAATCGGGCTCTGATACCACCTGAAAAGAACGCGAGCTCGTGAAAATTTAGGTTTTTTTGTCAAAGTCGCACAACTTCGATCTTTGTAGGATTTTTTCTGAATTTTTTCTCAACAACTCAAAAAGTAAAGGATAGGGCGGAATTGTCGTGCAACTTCAACACAAATCCAGAAGAGGCTCGAAAAATACAAATGTAGCAACTCGACCACAATCAATCACTTGCCAACATAGCTTCACCCGAACTATACAATAGCCACCAACAAAGCTTGAGAAAAGTCTACCAGGTCACCAAAAGCCAAGATCTTTCTTGGCTTTAGCTTTTATAGCCTGACGCTTCTTTTCTTTAGCCTTTAACTCTTCCTCTTTAGCCTTTATTTCTTCATCTTCTGAAGCAACGTCCCCTAAAAAAAATAGCTTCCCTCACAGAATCATGAAGCTCCAATTCAACTCGTCCAATGCCAAAATAAAATTGGATATCATAATATAATATCAGATATAGTAATAATTTTTAAACTGGAAAGATTTGATCAACTATAATAATAAAATAATATTATAACAGAGTAGAATCCACTCCTCGATTAATTAGTTGGCCTTTTTTCAAAAACAAAAATTGGCTAGAGGTTACGCACGACAGCCATGACCTCCCTTAGTCATCTCCACAGCTGTACCTTTTCAGACGAGATAAGCATAAGAGAAAAAACAAAAATGAAAAATACAACACCGGCCAACGGGTAGCGAGCAGGCAAGCGGCAATTGGTAGCGTGCAGGCAACAGCGTCGCCGACGTTGACAAAGAGCAGACTCCTCTGCGGCTCCGCCACCGAGGCTGGAAGAGGAAGTGGTCGCAATCTGAAAGTGAGCGATGACGGTCCTTATACTGTTCAACTCGGAATGAGGAAGGGACATTGGCGAATTGCTTGGACCAAAGGCGCGGAAGAAGCAGAGATGCTCTATGGCAATTCATCAAGCGACGATTTGCCCCTATTCGGCAATGCATACAGGCGTTTGATCCGCAAGCTGCAACATCGCACAATAGCGATTGAGCGTAAGCAGTTCCTAGTTCAGCATATAGCCGAAGTTTCAAACGTCTCCGCCGACACCTTCTTCTTGTCGTTAAGGTCCAAAACAAAGGCTCGGACCACTTTTCTTTTTGCCATCGTTGACGACGAAGTACAGACTGCCAGCAGTCCTCCTCGGTCTATTGGACGCCTCGTATAGCTTGTGACTGGCGATTGAAAATAGAGAAGCAGAGGCGGCCGGTAGTTGTCGTCGTCCATCAATCAACCCCTTCTACTTTCACAGCTTTGTTCCCACCAGCGCCGAGCCGCACCGTCACGGGTTTCAGAACTGGGATCATGGCATCACTAAATCGAACTCCGCCAGTGATCTGCTAGTCCATCTGCCGCTTCACGATTTCAATTGGCTTTGAAGCTTTCAACATTTATTTTCAGGTAATTGCAAGTTGGGTCACTAGAATTATTTAAAAAGTTTACGTTTGCCACTAAAATTAATTTATTCCATCTGTAGTCACTTAAATTAGTTTAATAGTTCAAGTTTGGTCACTCTTTGTTAGTCTCAATTAAATTTTGCTGATGTGGCAGTCAACTCTGAGAATTGATCGTTAAATAAGTGACGTGATAATTAAAAAATAAAGTAATAAAATATTTTAAAAATTCCATCAGAACGCTCTACTTCGTCAAATTCAGAACGCCCTACTTCGTCAAATAATAATTGCAATCAGAACGCTCTACTTCGTCAAATTCACGTCATCGCTCTCCTTTCCCTCTCTGCCGCCCTCCTCTTCTACCATCGCCTTCTCCGACTCCCAGCTTTGATCAAAGTCGTCCTAGTCTCACGGCGAATAAGAAGGCTTCAAGGAATCTCGTGGTAGTGCTCATTGGGTCCGAGAACACGTTTAGCACTTCCAAGTTCATCGGTGAGGTAAGTTCAAAAATTTTGAATCTTTTTGTATTTTTTTGGGTTGGTTTCGAAGTTTCAGCATTGGATTCACACTCATTTATTCATTTTTAATTATAAATTAAATCAATTACGATTAAATTAAAAATGTTAATTGCGCCCCAAAATTAAATGATGTTTTCGCTTTCAACCCAATTTTGGACTTCTCACTTATTATAATTTGCTTATAAGTCCATTATATCTTCACAAAGGTTAATCCACCAACCCAATTGAATAAAGAGATGTAAAAACTTACTTCAGTGAAAATAAATTCTCTAAAACTTATTCCTTTCGTCAAATAAATCCATGTAAATAAAAATTCCAAAAAACAGAGAATAAACACGCTCTCTTCATATGAGTAAATCTGCAAACACAAATGATGATGAGAAAGCTACTGTACTTGATAGTTTCAATAAAGATACATTTCTTCGATTTTGAAAAGAAATTCCAAAACATACCCAATTTGAAACAAATGTTCCGATTTATACATAAGCACCAATCTGAATCGAAGAATGATGAGTGGCTACTCCATCTTCTCCATCAATTCAATGTAGAGTTCATGTCGTCGATTAGCCATGTACAAAACCAACTTCTGTTTCAGATCTCGTAAGGGCATATAAGCAGCAGTTTCCTGTTGGATTCTCAAGATTCATAAGTTCAGGTGTTGAAACTTGGATGATTCCTGGATTGTGTTTGAGATGGACTAGAATCCGATGCTTCTATTCCAGAGACTTCTAGTCCTCTGCAGATTTCAGTACCAGCAGAGGAGAATTTGGAATTCTTGGAATTTCAGTGAAGACTTTGTCAGTGAAGACTTTGTCATATCTTCCTTCAACTCCATTTAATCCCCGACGCCGATGACGGTGATGGATCTCGGCAGGGGTAGTTTGCTATGACACGCATGTTTGCTTTGTTTCTGGTTCGAAAACGTGGATTCTACAAGCAGATTCAAGGGGATTCCTTGATACACCGAATTATCAAGCAGATCGACGATAAGTAATTTCCATAATTCAATAAGAGTTAATCGATGGCGCAACAAACAGAGGTGGAGTATCCGTCTCCAAGTCTCTGAATTTAACTCTACATAGAAATAGTTCTCCCATCAGTTCCAAAACGTAGGGGGCATGGGTTCTCAATTTTGGTCTCTATTTTTTCCCTCTTCTCATATATGAGGGATTGTTATCTAAAGAACGAGTTGATTATACTGTGATTATTTGAAGAAGAAATGGAACCAAATCCATGAATATGTTAAAGTTAAGCATCGACCTGTGGAGATAATATAACCCTTCATGATGTTGGCCCATCCCAATAAGCTTCTTGAAAGGTAAGTCCTAAATAACACAGAAGTTGCTTAGAAAGATGCCACTCGAAGATCAGCCTTGAGTTTACTGACGGATAGCTAGTTGCATTGGAACTCTGGCACATGCAATACTCTTCGTAGAGTGACATCTTTAGAAGGATGAGTAGACCCTATACTGTGAACCTTAATACCTATACCATTGGGAATACAAACCTGAAGAGTTGGGGATTGATCATGTTCCTCGTCCATTAAAGATGCATCATTAATTATACATTCATTACAACCACTTTCAATCTCCCAAGAGTATTTAGATGGCGAAATTGTACATGCCATGTTCAATACATGATCGAGAGGTGTGTGCAGACTAACTTGACGATCTAAACCGAGGAGGGCCTGCAATTGAGAGTATTGCCCTGCTGAATGACCGGGAATATGGCTCACGACAACATCACCATGTGCTTCCCTAGGTGGAGGATTGTGAATGCGTCAACGGGGCTGGTCAGATTTGTCTGTGGACCGCGGAAGAAAATCGTGTAGCTTGAAACACGTCTCCCAGAAGTGGCCAAATTTTGAGTGGTGGGAGTAATAGGGGCGCTTGTGAGCATTCGCTCTCCCTGAACAGCTGGTGGATTCCGCAGTGGCCAACTATCTCCTTTGGCCTAGAAGGCTGCTGCTTTAGAGTGCGGACTACGTTGACCGGCCACGTGGCGTTGTTGCTCGTCGTTAGCGACCATGTTATATGCTTCAGCAACACTAGGAAGAGGATTCATGGCAAAGATATGTGACTTGATGATAGAGAAAGTTGCATCAATTCCCATAAGAAAATCAAAGTGTCGTTCCACGTCACAATCCTCCCACTATCAACGTTTGACATCGCAAGTGCAATTCTTATACGTGCAATCAATAGATGGAGCATCGACCTGTGCTTGTTGCTCGTCATTAGCGACCATGTTATATGCTTCAGCAACACTAGGAAGAGGATTCATGGCTAAGATATGTGACTTGATGATAGAGAAAGATGCACCAATTTCCATAAGAAAATCAAAGAGTCATTCCACATCACAATCCTCCCACTATTAACGCTTGACATCGGAAGTGCAATTCTTATACGTGCAATCAATAGATGGAACAAGGGGCGCGATCTCGTCCCAAAGACCACGAAGTTTGGTATAGAATGCTGCAACAGAAGATTTTTCCTGGTGGAGAGAAAGGATTGTGCGACGAAATTCGTAGAACTGAGATGCACTACCATGTCCAAATCGTGCTTCGAGATCAACCTAGATTTTAGAAGCATTCTTTGCAAATCGAACGCTGCTGCATACCTCCTTGATCAAGGAGGTTTTGAGCCATCCCTTCACCATTGTGTCACATTGTCTCCATGCTAGGTATGGCAACATGTCAGGTCGGGGGTGGATAGTGCATATCGGTTACCCTACCTGCCTCGCTCCTACCGTCACTCTAGAAAATGGCCAAGTGTAACCACCTCCTAAAGCGTAGTATAGCGGGTTTGGGTTTTAATGTCAACCCGAGTCCTAGGTGTGATGACTACTCCGTGAGTTCTTATTATTTAGCGATGACAGTGTAGTGAAGGTCCAAAACAAGCAAACAAGCAAAACAATTAAAGGTTGTTTTCAAGTTGAGAGAGGTCACCCGGATATGGTTCCCCCTAGACTGCAGTTAAGCAGGATTGTAATTTACCAAGTTCAATTTCAATGATAGTTATACTGCGGGAGGTTCTTAAACAGTCTGCAGTCTAGACTAAAGGTCTCCAGACCCTCTCAATCTGAGTCCCCAGGGGCGACTAACCTCCACCGGAGTAAACAGATTGAGGCCCTAACGAACCAAACCTCCACTACCTAAGTAAATCCGGTACAGAATAGTGAATTGACTCCGCGACTAAAGTCGTCAATTCCCTACCTTCAATCAAGGGAGCTCTATCAACCTAGGCATATATTCCCTTTCTAGGTTAAAGCAGAAACAACAGGAATTTGATCAGGATTCATGCCATTCAACAAATCAAACCTCAACTGAATATAATCATATCATTGAATCTATACTTGGGTTCATACAATCAAACCTAACATACAAATCTAGGGTTCTTCATACCCAGGTGAATAAGAAAGTCACTCCATAGAGAGAAATGGGAAATCTAGCTAAGATGCGGAAACCATACTGTGAAGGATGAGATTCTGCTTCTGGCACTCAATCAGCTTTTCTCCAAGCTTAAGCCGAGCTCCAATGGTGATGGAGATCGATCTAAGGCACTTGAAGAATCAGGTTCGTCACTTTCTCTCTCTAGGGATACACTTTTTCTCTCTAAAACTCGGTCCCCTTCTCCTTTGGCTTGAAATTGGGTTAAAACCCAGAAATTACCGACCACACGACCAGGCCACACGGCCGTGTGGCTTTCCAGTCTGCCAGTGTGGATGTTAAAACGCGGCGTTTCGATTAATGGGCTTTCAGGCATGCTGCATGGCCAGGGCCACACGGCCGTGAGGATTTCCAGGCCGCCCGTGTGAGCTCCCTGGACTTTCCACATGGCCACAAGGGGTCTCCTACACGGCCAGTGTGGCTTGCCCGTGCAAAGTGGTGCCACACGAGCAAGCCACACGGCCGTGTGGGATTTTAGGCGTGCCCGTGTGAGTTCCTCAGCTTCTCGCCAAACGTCCAATCTTCGTCCAATCGACCTCGAACTCGTTCCCAGACCTTCATTCACGTACTAGGACCTGAAATATCACAAACAAGAACAACCTAGCGTGAAATCGACCTAAAACACGAGAATCAATATCTCAAACGGCTCAAGAATAGGGGTAAAAACATGTGCAATCAATGGTCTATCAAACTCCCCCACACTTAACTGTTTGCTTGTCCCCAAGAAAACCAACTCAAACCAATGCAACTCTCCAGACCTCTATAGCAACAAACAACCCCGATCGTCGGTAGAGGATTTCCTAGATCATAA